TAAGTGTCTTACCAGGCAAATGGCTGCAGATTATGTAAGAAAGGTCTAAATCCTGCAATGCATTCAAACACCATTGTCCCAAAGCTCCAGTAATCAACAGTAACTGAGTAGGATTTGTTCTCAAAGAGCTCTGGAGCCTGAAAATGATCACAAAAAGACACTTTGACAGTGGTATTTCCTTGCATTTCTGCAGAGACAAAGCTGCATACAGGTGTGTATCCCTGAGACAGGACACCTTTGGGATCTCCATTTCTGGAGGTTTCAGCCCTTGGCAGTGCCAAGCCACAGCTGCCCTGCCCCAGTGCTGGTGACACTAAAAAAGTCTTACCAGATATTGCAGTGTTCCAACAAAAGAAGTGCATAAACTTCCTTGATCCAGATCCTTTGCATATCCCAGATCTATTATTTTGTGAACAATCTGCAAACAGTTTAAACAGTTCATCAGAAGAGCAAATGCTGAGGAAAAAACCATCAAACAACCCAAAATCTGCTCAGTGACAGCCACAGAAGACTCAAGAGGAAAGCCAGAATGGAAATTCTGGAAAAAGTCCATGGCAAAGCTTCAGCAACAGTGCTGAAACTTTTAGTAAATACATAGTTGAGTTTTCAGTCCAGTTCAATGTGACAACTTCCAGAAATGACAGTGGAAACACACTGACCACCTGACTTACCTTCCCACCTTCATCCTGAAGAACAATATTTTCAGGCTTTAAATCTCTGTGTATAATTCTATTCTCATGCAAATACTGGATGCCAGATCCTGAAAGACACGTGTTTGTTTTAACAGAAAATAAAATTCACATTGATTAAACATAACATCTGGTAAAAACCTAATACTGGGGGACAAGTTTCCCCAGACTTCCATGATTTGCTACTACTCACTTCTACATTTAACAGCTTCCAAACCTGTGTTTCTTCTGCACTGCATTTTCACATCTTTGCAAAGACATGCCAAAGACACTCAACGTATGATGAAAAAAAAAAAAAACCAAAAAAAAACCACCACCACAAAACAAAACAAAAATAAACAAACAAAAAAACAGCCAAACAACATTATGGAAGGGGAACAAGTATAAAGGAATTCAGCTGGAAGTCCTCTTGAGCACTGAAAGGACAGAAGTCCAGGCCAATACTTTCTTATGCCAAAACTAGCTCTTCCTATAAGCAGTGACAGGTTATCTGTAAGAGAATTAAGAAAACAAGGAGCTTTCCTAGAAAACCTTTTTCCTAGAGAAACCCAGGCATTACCCTTTATCAGACAGCTCTTCCTTCCCATGGTGTCCAAAAAACTAGGTACTTCCCAATGAGCCTGACTTTTTTTAAAACTCTGTGTATTTTAGTTCCCTTTTCATGGTCAGCTGAAAAAGGCAAATGCCACTACACTTAAAAAAAAAAAAAAAAAAAAGCAGAAAACCAAACAAAAAGAAAGCACTAACTACATACCAATGTCACTAAGCAGAGAAAGGATTTGACTTTCCTTCAGCCCACAGCAGTTTTCTGGTTTGTTTAGCAACTACAAAAAAGCAAAAGGTTTTCAGACCCAGGCTTGCAACAGTTAACAGCAAAAACCAACATTTTCAATCCGGTTGAAACTACCCAGCAAACAGCACAGCTCAAGGATCACTCCAGCTGAATGAGGCAGTTGACTTTTTCAATAAAATCATGGCCAAGAAGATAACTCAAACAAAAGGAAAATTCAGAAAGCAAAGGGTTAAGAGACAAAGGCAGGGCCACAGGGCTGCAGGCAAGGGAGGTTCCACCTCAGCACTGTCTTAATGAGCTGTCAATAAAAGCAGCCTCAGCAATTTCTGATTTACTGCACTCAAGACTTTCAGGGATGACTGAGGTGCTTCAGCCCTCATGATGGATTCACAAGGAGAAATTAATAGTGAAGTGAAACACAAATGATGCCAAACAAGAAAGACTTAAAGAACACAATTAGAAATATTTTTTTTTCCTTTAAGAAACAAAGCAGTACAGAACATCAGATGGAATGAAGCATGTTACTTCCTAAATTGTTTCAGCATCTATGCCATACCTAAAGATTCATCAGAAATGAAGCGACCGAACACTGCATTGCAAGTAGAGCTAATTTCTCAGCCAGTTTCTAACCTACCTTCAGGGAGTCTCCAAACTTTTACTGCAATAATACAACAGCCAAATGTCTCTGAGAACGTGGCCAGATGCGTGTCTGCAACCCCCAAATGCTTTTCACATATGCCCCTTCTTTTACTGTGACTGAAACCTTAGAAGTGTCTCTTGGACTGTTTTTAAAAACGCAAAACCATATAATGAGATGAGGTTACTGCATTCATCAGCTGCTCACGTTCCCCAGGGCTGTTTAACACCACTAACAATCACTACAGAAAAATTAGTTTCCTGATCACATAGATGAGGTGATTTCTAAGCAAATCCTGATCTGACAGGGATTTGCTGCTTCACCCCTACAGAAGCTGCTGCTTCCTGAATCCAGCTGTAATGGAAAGGGAGCATAAACTCTATCAGGTCACGAAGCCACTGCCTGGGGAACTACTGAAAGGCTCCTTTATTTTTGGTGTTGCCAGTGTGCAGATTGACAGTTCCCAGTTCAGCAGGAATAGCAAAGGTTGAGGATCCCCGGAGGCCCCAGTCCAGCACTAATAGGCTCATTCCCTGTGCTGAGAGCAACGTAACACAGGATACACACGAATCCAAACCAGTCAGACTCTGAACAGATGGAGACATAGCAGCAAACAAGCCAAACGTGCTGGGTGTCAGCAGCTGCACTAATGCTAAAGCAGCTCCGTGATGGGACACACTCTGCCAGGCTAAGAGCATCTGCCCTTGGGTTGCCCTCTGGCTTCAAAAACACAAGCCTCATTCCCCACATGTGATTTTTTTCTCACCTTACATTTACTTCCTCACACCTGTACCCAAAAAGAGAAGCACCACAGAGCAGAGCTGGTTACAGAAGCAGCACTAACACGCCTTGTTTGGATTCGTGTTATTTGTTTTTTTTTATTGGAAGCACAGCAGGCGTTACCTTGCGGAGGTCACCCCCCGAGCAATACTCCATGGCCAGGAGAGGAACGCCGTTAACCAGGAAGTTCATCTCCTCGGGAACTTCGCAGGCTCTGACCACGTTGGGATGGTTCAGCCTAAGCACATGGAGAGCTGGATGAAAACTCTCTCGGGAGAATGAGACAACACATTGCAGTGCAACCACATTTTATGTTCTAGGGACAGATTCTGTTCCCCACAGGAATCCTTGCTCACTTGTCAATTGGTACCTACCAGTACCCAAATGCATAAGATCCATACCTTGGGAATACACAAACCAGTGATGAGCAGAAGCCTTGTCTCAAAGACAAGGAACAGTATTTTGATGATGGGGATCCAGACTCAAGTTCTGAATTCTTGCACAATCCTGGCAAAGTCATTCCGTGTGTGTGTATGTGCTACTGTATGTAGGAACAGACTCCCCCTGGCCCAAGCATTTCACAAGAATCCCTTAACACCTGTGTAACGGCACCAGGCAGGTGAAAGCCACATTCAGAGGGAAAAATTAACCTCTGCAGCTGAATTCAAACAGCCGCTTTCTGACTGTCTCTAATGCATGCTACTCTTGGGAATAAATTACATATCCAGAAGGAAATGAAGGCAAATTAATTCTCTCTACATCTTCCAAAGACTCTGGACGCCAATGCAAGAGCAGCTTGTGACTTAGTGGCTCTTTTCAGCAACCAAATCAGACATCACCATGCCTTGACTTACAAATTCATGTTTCCTGCAAGTGGTTTGCCCCCCGTGTCATGGCACACACAGATGAGAGTAACAAAGCTACAGCAGGGTCACTGCAGGCCTTGGGGAGAACAACTCAGAGCATCCCACCAGTGGGACAGAGATTTCCTGCTCCAGGACCCCTCTGTCTCTCTCAAGCAGTTCTGTGAGACCCAAACACTCAAAGGCAGCCCGCACATCCATGAGACCAAAGCTGTGCAGTCCCGTTTCACCTGCTGGAGAGGGAGGGTGGGCAGCACAGAGTACGGACTTTCTCACAAGGAAGTGTAAGGAGAATTTATTCTTTACATTCGGCAGCGCAACAGAAAAAAAGCAAATCCAGGATCCCCTGGTTACTAAATCAAAAACAAAGGTACCGCAGGGTATGGGAACACGTGGGTGTTCCCAAAGCACAACATCAAAACTCTACCCACAGGGCGGTGTGAGTTTGGAGGAATTTCGGATGAGTTAACAGCCCAGGCAGCACAATAGGGCAGGGGGCCTGGGGATCATCAGCTCCCAAGCCAAGGCATGAGCTGGCACACTGGGATGAGACACAAACCAGCACAGGCATGCCAGGTGACAAGCAGTCCAGGAGCTGACTCCCGGCTGTCCCCACTCCCAAGCTGATTCAGGAACCAAGGCACCAGCTGCCCCCACAACATGGTCTCGTCCCCCCAAAGCCGTTCCAGGGTCTAACCCCTCCCGGCTGTCCCCTCTCCTTGGCCATTCCAGGGGCAGACCCCGGCTGTCCCCTCTTCCTATCTGTCCGGTGCCGCCGGGCTGAGCCGAGCCGAGCCGTGCCGAGCCGGCCCGCCCGCACTCACTTCTTCATGATGTCGATCTCGTGACACCAGCGGTCCTTGTTCTTGACGCTGAGCTCCAGCCGGCACGACTTGATGGCCACGCGGTCGCCCGAGTCCTGCGGGACACAGCGCCGTCAGCCGCCCCGGCCCGGCCGTGCCCTCCCCGCCGCCCGGCCCGGCCCCACCTGGTGCTGGTACAGGCACACGTTGCCGAAGCCGCCGGTGCCCAGGCGGTCGCGCATCTCCCAGGGCCCGCAGCCGCCGGCCGGGTGCCCGCGCAGCGCCGCCCCGGCGGGGGCCCGCTCGCCGGCGGCGGGCGCGGGGGGGCCGCCCCGCTCCATGGCTCAGCCGCTCGCTCCGGCACTCCGCCTTTATTGCCGCGTCACCGCCCGGCGCCGCCCGCGCCCGCCCGGGGCCGCCGCCGGCAGCGCCGCCTCAGTCCCGGAGGGAGAAGTCGAAGGGCTCGAACTCGCGGCGGAAGGCGCGGGCCTGCGCCTCCTCCTCGGGCCGCTGGGCGGCGCACTGCCGCCAGTCCGCGCGCTGCGGCTGCGCAAGCAGCGCCTCGCTCGCCAGCACCTCCCTGCAACAACAGCGCCGTGACGTCACCGTGGCGTCACCGCAACGTCCTGTTACGTCATGGCAACGTCACCGCGGGGGGCGGGGCCGGCACGCACCTGCCGAACTGCAGCGGGAAGCGGCCGCGGATGCGGTGGAACAGCTTCTCCCCCGTGTCCAGCTCCACGTAGAAGTACGGCATCCCCGGCTGAGCCACCTGCGCGTTGGGAATCACAGAACCACAGAATCAGCTCGGCTGCAAAGCACGTCTGAGACCACCAAGTCCAACATATGACCTTGTTAACTTGAGCACGGCACTGAATGCCACGTCCAGTCTGTACCCTGAACACCTCCAGGGCTGCTGACTCCGCCACCTCCCTAGGCAGCCCCTTCCAATGCCTAAACACCCTTCCTGCACATGAAGGTCTGAAGAGACATTGGCTCTGAGAAGAGCTACCAGGCGACAGGCAGACTCTCCTCCCAGCTGTCCCCATGCCATGGTCCTCTCTCCTGGGAGAAAACTTGGAAAAATAACCCACAAACTGCCTGAGGTCAGTGCCTGACCTCAAACAATACCTTCCATGGGAGGAAGGAGCAGTGGGTCATTTCCTGCTGGGATCACCTATAATATTTTGTGGTTTAATTCTGCCGCGAGTAAATGAGAAGCAGGCAGGTCTGGTCATTCCTAACCTCATCTAGTTCACCCCAGCCTAGCACAGCACATTTCTGGAGGAAGAAGCCATGCTCACATTTCTCAGCTGAGAAATCATCTGTTGCTCATGGGAACTTCACCCACAGCAGAACACCTCTGGCACATCCCCAAATCAAGTCCATGAGGTTCTGCCTCCAACAACTTAACCCCACCCCATAGAGTGACCTCGGAGGGGAACAGCAGCTTAGGCAGGACAGAGGGGAAGTGAAGAGGTAAAATGTGGCCCCATACTTGTGCAATATCTGAGTGCTCTGGGATTTCTAACAGTTCAATGTGCTGCTCCTGTGCTTGTGTAATAAAGGCCTCCTTGATGTCTTCAGAAGTACAGAGGTCCAGCGGGACAGGAATCACCTGGAGAGGGAGGACATTTCAATAAAGGAAGACGAGACAATCCATTTGCAGAAAGCCATCAGTCCATCACTGGAGCTCGTGAGCTCCTCAGTACAGCTCAGCCTCATCACACAAGACAGGTGAGCACCCATCTCTACAGGCTTAAACTTATGAGACGTTTTTTCCTGTAGGAGGTGGACAGAGAGCTGAAAACTCAAAGCTTGAAAGTTCTCAGCAGAGCCACCTCCTTTCTTATCTCTGTGGTAGTTCTGCTACAGCTCTGATATCCTTACAGACCTGCCACACACAGCAACCACCACAATAAACCCTGAAATTGTTCTTTCAATTCAGTTCGAGTTTATATTCAGTGCAAGCTTGTATTTTCCCATGGTGACACCCAAACCATACCTGTAGCTGCAGATGTTGACTCCTGTAGTTTCTTTCAAATAGGACGTATCTCTTTCCCTTGCTTCTGAAAAATTCCTTTAGGGCAGCCTTGTATTTGGTCACTTCTTCCAGCACCTCTGAAGACAAGTCCACCACTGACTGATAGTGCCCAATTGGCAAAATCAGGACGTGGTCAGGTGACAAACCCCCTTTGGCCAGGGCAAGGTAGCACTAGAGTGAAACAACACACACCAGTTACTCACAGTGCTGCAGGAATTTACTCTCTGACTACTCATTCTGAGTAGCCCCCAGCCTCAGGAAAAGGAGTCTTCTATGCTGCTTATTAGGGATTGTTTATTAGCCATTTCATTTGAATTTATTTTTATACTGAATTTAATAATCAACTAGAGGAATGAGAAAGAGAAAAGGGACTACCAAAGGGACCAAAAAATTTATCTTTTGAATGCCAGAGAATGCCTTGTCTGCAGAGAAGCTGCTGAGTGAACTTCACCACTGAGGCAGGAATTTCTTATTCTGACACAAAAATCCACTTAAGAATTTAAACTAAGACTGTGGACAAACCTGTCCTTGTAAGTGGATTATGCTGTACAGGAGCAGTAACTTTAAGTAAAGTGCATAAAACAATGATGGGCTGAGCTTCAAAGTCAATATCTCAAAGTACATCTTGGAGATACCTTCTTTTTCATTTCTATAGAACAAAAATATAACCAGCCATCCCGGAGAGATCTGGCATTGGTGCATCCTGTTGCCAAAGCAGGTTCTAGTTCACTTCCAGTTGGAAAAGTTTTGCCAGATGGTAACAGAGGGCTGGCACGGCAAAAAGGATTTTGGCACTGGAATCCAGCTCTGCTGCTGGTGCCAAACTGGACCATGCTTCATTTAAGAGTTTATGTGTTTGTAGAGGAGATTCAAAGAAACTGAAAGCAAACCCAAAAGCCAGCTGCAAATAAACTTTGTTCGTCCTAAATTTAAAATTGGAGATTGGTACTTTGTTTTGCCATGTCTTAGCGTGATTCTGACCTAGCAAAGCCCATAGCCCTAGCAAAGCTGCAGATACTTACATGTGTGCCAATACTGACAACCAAGTGCTTCTCCACCTCTGGGCTGGCCAGGCAGAACCAGCAGGGCCCTGTGGGCTGAGCTTTGTTGGGAAAGAAAACAAGGATTAGCAAGAGGGGTATTTGTCAGAATACAGACAGTGTGGTAGTTTCCAGCTACCTTTCCCAGTTTATAAAGTGCTGAAGGCATCAGAAGAACACAGCTCTGGCCAGGAAATTCCAGCAAGAGAGGAGGAGGTGGCAGTCACACCCTGCCATTCTCCTGGAATGCTATAACCTAATGAAAGAGGAGTTTAGTAGTTCCAGTCAGTAGTTGCAGCTCACTAATAAGAAAACATCAGCACATTTAAGCAAACAAATTAAAATGAGGTAAAACTGCTGCACAGGTAAAGACAAAGGCACACACTGTCAAACACACTTATCAGTTCTGGCCTATCCATCACACCCAAAACACCTGGATTAACACCCAAACTGTCATACCTGAGCTGAGCTTTTTGGAAGTGCCATGTCTGGTTCAGAGGGTAAATGCCATCAGCCCAACCACAACTACCACGGACCCAAAGAGCTTTGAAACTACACTCTTGACCGTTCTTTCACCTACTGAAGCCTCTGGAAACAAGGGACCCTTCATCCCCCTGCATTCCCTCAGCAGCTGGCAGTGGCAGAGTTCTCTGGCCAGCTGACACCTAAAGCTCAACAGCTTGAGGAACAACTTGGAATGATGTGGTCCATCAATGTCTCGAGGGAAGAGCTCAGGAAAAAAGCATCCTCACACTTACGGGGTTTCTTGGCTTGCTTAGGTTGGGAGTCCCCTCTCTCCTTCCCGTCTGAGGGACGTTTCTTTCCCTGATGCTTGTTCAAGTCAAAGAAAAACTGACAAGCTGGTTCTTCCTGTTAAGGAAATGAAAAGTGAACAGGATGTTCAGTTAGAACTGTATCACGGAAAGTGACAGGATATACAAGAATTTGATTTTTCCTGAAGAGCTGTGAACCACTTTCGAAAAGCAGCAATACCGCAGAATCCCTGAGGCTGGAAAAGCCCTCCCAGCCCATGGAGTCCAGTCTGTTCCCAATGTCCACCTTGTCCCCAGCCCAGAGCACTGAGTGCCACGTCCAGCCCTTCCTTGGACACCTCCAGGGATGGGCACTCCAAACCTCCCTGGGCAGCCCCTGCCAAGGCCTGAGCACCCTTTCCATGGAGAAATGTTTCTGAATATCCTGGAACAGAATGACCTGTTCTCCTAGTAATGCATCAGACTTTGCCTGCTTCAGTTAGGGAAAAATTTCTGGGAAAGCTGCCCCAAATCATTATGTTCTCCTATTCAGCCTTATGCTGAAAAATCAGAATTGCCTGATTTTAAGATTATTCAAATCTTTTCATTTGCCAAAAGAATAGCTTCATTTCTTAGAGATGTTAACCTGTCACAGGCTCACCAGAGGTTGAAAACATTTGACTAAGTTATCCCATACAGCCAAATGCCATTAGAAGGCTCTAATGCTGAAGAGGAAAAGCTGTCCCCATCTTTCTTATATTCCTCCTTTAAGACGTGAAAGGCCACAATAAGGTCTCCCTGGAGCCTTCTCTTCTCCAGGCTGAACACGCCCAGCACTCCCAGCCTCTCTCCACAGCAGAGTTTTGATAGAGATATCCCAAAGGGAAAGCCAAGCAGTGTTGTGAACACAGAGAGTGAACCAGGAATGCACAGGTGGAGGAGCACAGGGCAGTACCTCTGCAGAGGCTTTGCTCTTGGGAGCCTCCTTCTTCAGTTTTCGGTAGGGATTTTCAGTGACGTCCTGGGGCTGCTTCACCAGCTCTGCGGGGTCCATTGAGCTCATGGGCACAATGCTGAAGGCATAGAGGTACTGCAACAAAAACAGAGGCTCAGAGGCAAGCAGCTCCTGCCACGGCTGCACCTCTGAGGAGATCAGTTATGAACTAAGACACCCCAGAACACCTCCACACCACTCAGCACATCAGTGTTTGTGCCAAGACAGGGCATGGAAAAACACACCCCTTGTGCCAGTGTCCTACCCAGGAGTTTATGGAGTGCATCCTTGATCCCTGCCTGTTTCCAGGCCTTTTTTCTGGCCTTTTTTGTTACCAGGCCTGGATCCTCTTAACTACCAACCAATATTCCATAACTTCTTTAAGGGGAGAAGAGAAACAGGTTGAAAACCTCACGCCAGAAGTTTGTTATTTTCAGTGGTTTGTACCTCAGAACAGCGTGCAGCCCTTACCCTTGTGACATAACAGACAGGTGGTGACTATTTCTCAAGTGAGACAGATACATTCACTTCAGCCAAGCTTTTAAGTGCCTGATGTTGTCCTCTAACTGGTGTCACTGCTCTATTATTGTACTTGAGAAAAGCAGAAAGACTCAGGTGTCAGTACCTTTTTCTTGCCTGTATTGCCAACATCAGCAAGTGCAATAAACCTGGTCACGTGCTGTGGGGTCTCCTGTAGCACCATGTGATTCCTGTAAAAAAGCAAAACCTGGCTGTACTGGCATGTAAAGTACTGAAAGGACAGTGAGAGAACCCCTGTCTGCTATGAAGATACTCAGAGAGCACACCAATCCTCCAATGTTCCTTAAAAACTGAACCCTTACTTGAAAATAAGTGAGATTTCACATCATTTTACAAACCTGTAAGGAAGTCTTTCATAATAGGCCTTCTCCAGGGCAGCAAAATGGTACCTTGGCTTGAGACTTGCAGCTAGATCTGATACTAACTTGGAACCACACTTCTTGGTATCTATTTCTCCCTACAAAACACAAACCAAGCTTTATTTAAACCTCTCAAAGAGCAGGGAAAATAAAGGTTTAATATACGTCTCCATATACCTGAGTGAGTACATTCCCAGAAAACTCATGCCAAGGGAAGTCAAGCATAGAATGACATATTAAACAATTACAGAGAATGCCCATGGGAACTTCTGAGATCTGAGTTTTCTTTTCAAGCCAGAAAATCCCAACAAATTGTTTCTCTACAACCCCCAAGGGCAGCAGGGTTGGTTATTATGCTGTGAGGGAAGGTTCCTCATGCATTTAACCTGAGGATTGTATCTCTTTTTGGATGTTGGAAGAAACTGAGAGGAAGCAAAAAATGTTCTTTTGCCACGTGTGTGGCCTTGATGTCCAGACAGGTTTCAAATTATCTGAAAATCACTTCTGCTGAGGAACATTAACACAACAAAATTGGACACAAATGAAACAACATCCTCAAAATCCAGACTGAGGACGAACCAGACTGACACTTAAGGAAATAGACAAAAAAACCACTCAAAAATGGCAGGTATTGTTGTAGGGGCGGGCACAACACATAAAAGGCACACTGTACTTCAGAAGGCTAATACCCGTTTATTACAACTTTTCACCATCTTTTATACCCTCCATACAGTTTATACTTTCTTATTGGTCACAATTAGTCAACCTAGCAATCACTGTTGGAAAGTCCTTCCACCCCTATTCTTCCCAGGACCTTTCCAAAAATACTTTCCACAGCTGTGGGGTTTTTTTCCCTAGTTATCTTCTTTTCTCCTTTCTCTCCTCTTGGTCTCCATACCAACAGCCTTGGTCAGAAAATACTTCTTAAAACAATCTCAATTCATTAATCCTCTCTAGCCCGCAGGCCAGCTGTGGGTCCTACTATAGACAGGGACAGATAAAATGCTGTGAAGTCTTACAAATCCCCCTCCCTTCAGTCCTTCTTCTCTGAAGAACCAGAACATCTGCTTCCCCTGTTTTCACTCCCAGCCTTCTCAAGCACTCAGAGAGGGTGAACTGCCAGAGCAAGCAGAAAGGCAACCCTTTGTGAAACCCCGGGAACAGAACACTCACTGCGCTGTTGGCGAAAGTCCCCACGTCTCTGGGCCAGGGGGATGTCAGCAATATATCCACACCCCTGAAGTTTGGGGTTGACAGCAGAGACATTTTCAGCTCGGCCACGTCCTTGGCGCTGAAGCTGTGGGCGGGCGCCGGCTGCTGCTGTGCCTCCGTGCCACTCAGGTACGCGATCTGCAGCCCCGAGCAGCCACTGTACACACCCCTGCGGCCTGCAGCAACACACACACACAGCCTGAGCTGCAGGCAGGGCAGGGAAGGGAATCCCCTGGGACAGGGCAGCAGCAGTCCTGACTCGCTGCCACCACGGCCATCCTCACAGACAGCTCATTTTCTGTGCCTGTGGCAATAGCATCGCTCGGTGCCACAGCTCAAACCCAACCCTGCCCAAAATTGAGCTCTTCAGACAAGCCTCAGTTTTCCCTCTCCTCCCTGCCACACTGCTTTCCAAAAACTCATCCACAGCAACATGAAGTCTCAGCACAATAAGCCAAACTCCTTCTACTTTGTTATAATTTTGGCCTGGTGGCAATTCTGGAAAGAAACTGGTTTTTCCTTTGAGCTTTGTTACCTCTGCTACTCCAGTACAGTCACAGAGCAAAATCATATTCAAACCTTCTTCTACAGAGACAGGCATGCTCTGGGAATAAGATTCCCTCAAAGAACAGGCTCTTGCAACCACTATTCCTTTTGGTCAGCAAGTTCGGTATCAGAGAAATTAAAGAAAAAACAAATCAAGAAAGCAGTGGTTTCCTTCACATTTTACGCAGATTGTACCAACATCAAGTTCAACTCCAGTTTGAATCACAAGATAAAAAATGCCACTTAAAACTCCCAGAAAAAGGAAGGTGTTAAAGTGGGGAGATAAGAGAACGTTCATGAAAGCAGGCAAAGGCAGCTTCCTGAACCCAAATCCCCTGCAGCCTTACCCAGGTAAGTGATGTTCTCAGCTAGCTCACAGCCGCTGACGTCCGGGAAATAGCTCAGGGTGTCCTGGTTGTTAGCGCCAAGCACGTAGGTTGGGATTGGAGCTGAGGGAGAAAACCTCGTGCATTAATTGAGCTTTAATCCCAATGCACCATCCCCAGCCCACATTGCCCAGGAATCACAGCAGGAAACCCCATCCAGTCAGACCCTCCACCACACTTTGGGAGCAACGAGCACAGGACAAGAAACCATGCTGCAGAGTGAGTGAGTCCCCAGCCTGGCACTCCCACAGCTGCAGGTGGTGAACAACCTCTGCTCTACCCACATCACCCTCCCCTGCTTGTGTAAGATTAGCCCTAAAGCCAGGGGTGTTCCAAACAAGCCCATCTTTCCTTCCTGTGTGGGGTTTCCCTGCTGCAGTATAACTGCTTTAACGCTGCAGTGCCCAGCCGTGGCTCCTGAATTCCAAGGTGGGCTGTGAGGCAGTGCCAGCCCCCTGGGTGACACCACCCTCCTTCCTTACCTTTCTTGGCTCCTGTGCGGTACTCGGCCCATTCTGCCTCAGACGTAGAGCCAAAGAAATTCCCGACACACAAAAGCATCTAAAAACACCGGATAAAGCTGGAGTTGCCATTTCACCACAGACAGAACACACACAAAGCCTTTGCCTGCACCACTTCAGCAGCATTTGGTTTGCTGAAGCAAAGAGATTCCTCTATGTATATCTGTGTCAAGCACAACGGGTTTAAAAGGGCAGGCAGCTGCTCTCCCGCCTTCTGTGCACAGATCACGGCTCCTCCCAATCATTTGGTGCTGGACAGGGAGGGTTGAGGGGCTGCAAAGCCCGTCTAACACCGAGTAGAAAGAGGAGGGTCGCTGCTGCGGAGGTACGGGACAGCAACACCCACCCGAGCACCGCCGGCACATCTCCCACAGTCAGAAACCCCACCCTGGGCCAGCTCCAGCTTCGTCCGTCTCGGGACAAAAACGGGAACCCCGCGGGAACGGCAGCACGTCCACCTCCCTCCACAAGCCTTACGTCGAAGCGGCCGCTCTTGGCCTGGATGGCGCGCACCCGCCCGAAGATCGCCTCCAGCCGCCCCTCCACGTCGCCGCACGCCAGCCTGCGAGACACCGCGGGGTAAAAGCGGCCGAAACGGCAAGGTCAGGTCCGGCCCCGGCCCCACCGCAAACTCAGCAGATCGCAAGCCTGCCCCCATCCCGTGTCGTGTCCTGCCCCGTGTCCCACCCCGTCCTCGTCCCGTCCCACTCACACGCGCAGCGGTGCCGCCGCCATCACGAAAATGCTCGACCCGAACCTCCCGCCACTTCCGAGTGCGCCGCTCAAACGCTCCGCCACTTCCGGGTGCGCCGCTCAAAGCGCTCCGCCGGTTGCCGGGTGGGCGGTGCCCAAAGCCTGACACAACGACCTGGAATCGCCGGGAATTTTAAATCCCGGTGTCCGCAGGAATCGCAGACAGTCCCTGTGCATGTTGTCTTTATCCTGATGTGTTAGTGCTCCAGTCAGTGTTGGCACTAAGTTTGGAAAAGCCGTGAAGAAGTAGAAGAGGTGATCGGGTAAGAGAGGGGTCGTTGTCTCAAAAGTGACTGAAATAATCACTGCAGGTGACTATTTACACCGATAAATTATTATAATGTTCATTATAAATGTTCATGTATGTAAATACTATATTTCGATATATATTTATAAGTTATTACGCTGAGCTGTACCAAAACAAACAATCGAACTGTAAACGCCAGCCAAGCTCTCCAGTATTTAACAGCTTTTATAAAACTTTGTTAAAAGAATGTCTTATAAATTAACAATACTTTACAAATAGATTTTAAAGGGGGGTCTAAAATTAAATGTTTATATTTTTTTATTAAAGTTTACAATGTTGCCATTTGAATTCTGTAACCAGGAGCTGAAATCTGAGTTGATGCTGTTGGAGTTTGTTCCTTCTGTGGTATTGGGACTGAATCGTTCCACATTTCAACAACAGGCACAAGAAACGTAAAGTAATAACTTCTATTTTCTGGCCTGAATGAACCACAAAATAATCATGGAATGGTTTGGGTGGGAAGGGACCTTAAAGCCCATCCAGTTCCACGCCCCTGCCAAGGTCAGGGACACCTTCCACTATGCCCGGGTTGCTCCAAGCCCCGTCCAGCCTGGCCTTAGACACTGCCAGGGATCCAGGGGCACCCACAACTTCTTTGGGCACGTTGTTCCAGGGCTTCATCACTCCCAAAAGCTAACAAAGCCGGCTGTTTGCCTGAGAGAAGTGGGAAGCCGAGGAGGAGTCCCTTTCATTTATTTTATTTTACTGACGGTAACTGGACCAAAGCGCACGCACACGCGCACACCGGCGGCTCCAGCGCGTCCCAGAGGCCCCAACGGGGCCGAGGGTGCGCCCCGCTCCTGCCTCGTTCCCGGCCCGATCCCATCAACTCCAGCAGGTCATGGACACCACCCGACGAAGAGCTCCCCGCCATCCCGAGCTCTCCAAAAGGCGGAGACGCGGCTACCCCTCAGCTTCCCTCCAACATGGCCAGTCCCCCACCTCCCCTCAGGGGCGCCGCCGCCGCATCGTCACCGCCTCCCCTAAGCAGCGGCGCCGCCGTTCAGCCTCCTGTCATTTGGGCGGCTTCTCCACCACCTCCCCTCAGCGGCGCCGCCCCTCAGCCTTCCCTCATCAGAGCGGTTCCTTCACCCCCTCCTCTCAGCGCCGCCGCCCTTCAGCCTCCCCTCATCTTGGCGGCTCCTCCACTCCCTTCCCCCAGCGGCGCTGCCCCTCAGCCTCCCCTCACTATGGCTGCTCTTCTACCAGCTCCCCACAGCGGCGGATGCCCTCAGCCTGCCCCCAACATGGCGACTCCTCCACCCCCCCTCAGCATCAGCACCGCCCCTCAGCCTGCCCCCAACATGGCGGCCCCTCCACCTCCCCTCAGCAGGGGCACCGCCCCTCAGCTTCCCCCGCGGGCTCTTCCCGCCTGGCGCAGCCGCGGAGCGGGAGCCCGGGCGCGGGGCGGGCGGGAAGGCTGTTGCGGTGTCGCTGCCGGCGCGGGAGGATGTCGCTGCCGCAGCAGTGCGAGGCCGCGTTCGGCACCGCGGACCTGTACGGCGTGCTGGGCGTGCAGCGCGGCGCGTCCGCGCAGGAGATCCGCCGCGGCTACCACCGCGCCTCGCTGCGCCTGCACCCCGACCGCGTCCCGCCCGAGCAGAAGGAGGAGGCCACGCGCCGCTTCCAGGTGAGGAGGGACGGAGGGAGAAAGGGAGGGAGGAAGGGAAGAAAAGACAGAGGGAGGGGGGCGATGGCGGCTATGAGTGAGACCGACCCACCGCCCCCCGGGTCACCGACCCACCAAGTGACCGACCCATTGCCCCACAAGTGACTGTCTGTCTGCTCCCTGAGTGACTGATTCGCTGTCCCCCAAGTGACTGAACCCTGAGCGATCACCCCACTGATCATCCCCTTGTGACCAACCCCGACCCTGCCTGTCCAACCCAGTGACCCAAGGTGCCTGACTGTCCGTGGGTGACTGACCCCCGAGTGACCGCTCCCCGAGTGACCTCCCGGTCACCCCTGTGTCCCCCTGCAGATCCTGGGCAAGGTGTACGCCGTGCTGAGCGATGAGAAGCAGCGCGAAGTGTACGATGAGACGGGCATGGTGGACGAGGAGGCCGAGGCGCTGCAGGACGGGCGGGACTGGCTGGAGTACTGGCAGCTGCTCTTCAAGGTGAGAGCGGGATGGGGCTGGGAGACACAAGAACCCTGCGTTGTTCGGTTTTATGTGTTTTCTCTTAAATTCTCCTGGTGAGTAAGTCCTGTAATTCACAAAGCATCGCCTCTTTGCTCCAGGTCACTGTGAAAGACATCGAAGACTTCCAGAAGAGCTACAAAAACTCGGAGGAAGAGCTGGCTGATGTGAAAGCAGCGTACATGAATTTCAAAGGTGACATGGATAGGATCATGGAGTCCGTGATGTGTGCAGACTACACGGATGAACCCAGGATACGGGAAATGATCGAGCAAGCCATCAAGTCCGGGGAGCTCCCGTCCTACAAGGCTTTTGTAAAGGAGTCAGAGAAGAAGATGATGTCCAGAAGAAGGCGGGTAGGTTGCAGCAATCGATTACCATAACCGTTTTTCCCTTGGCAGAAGTAAGTGGCGCTGTTCCCGAGATGTTTGTCACAGGATTGCTGAGTTACGCACCTTGCTGTTCACATCTGGTCACCTGTGATCATCACCTCCCCCCACCCCAAATCACTGTGCAAGGCTTTTCTACTTCTTTATTTCCTTATTATACAACAACGGCTTATTACAGTTTAGCGTGTCCCTGCATTTATCTACAAAGCTGTGAGTTGCTGGAGTTAACAAAAGCAAACAAGTGGTGAAAATACATTTGGGTTGACTTCTGGGAGGTGTGAAACTCTTCTGGCCTAAATGGACTCTTGTGTACTTTTGGACACTTTGTAGAATGTTATACGCACGTCACAGTAACCTTTAATGTAGTATCTACCAAGATTTAAAAAAAAAAGGGTGTGGGAAGAGGGACAGGAACAAACATCTGTGAAAGAGCAGAAAAACTTCCTGCTCTGCTAAATGGTGGAACCAGAATGGGCTTTCCTTGCCTGGTTCCTTATCCGTGGCCAAACTCGGAAGCCCTTTGCACTTCCCTGCAGCTATTTGTACACAGATGCCCAAAAAAGCATTTGGTAATTCCTGTAAGAGTCAGTCAGATAACATGCAAAATACTTCTTTAAAAAAACAACTCGTTTTCTCTTTTAGGCAGAAAAAGAAGCTAAAGAGGCAAAAAAGACTAAAGATGAACTGGGCCTTGGTGCAGAAAGTGACTTGCAGGCGCTGATTAAAGTAAGGCTCGTTTTGTTTGTTGCAGATGACTTTGTTACTGGCTTATAATATTGTTTTCCCTGAGCATCTTTGATTTTGGATCCTTGCAACTCTTCTGAATTCCTGAGGTTAAAATCTGGCCTTAATGTTAACTATGTGCTTTAATTTAATTAGAATCAGAGTATAGTACAGATTTTATTACCTGTGCCTTTTTAAAAATTTGCAAGAGTTAAATATTTGGGGTACTTATGCAGTAACTTCTAGTTTTAGGCAGTTTAACAGAGTTTTAATGGTGATACTAAACTTTTTGTAGTTTGTACTCACTGTTTAATATAGTTTAATGTTTTGTGTAGCTATGAAACTTCAATAGGATAGCCTGTATTGGGAAGTTACCAAAGGTTTGAGTTTGGTTGGTGCTCTTTTCCCCCTCCCCAGAGCCGAAGCAGAGATCGAGAAAAGAAAATGGATAACTTTTTCGCCCAGCTGGAAGCAAAGTACGGGAATGGTGCTAAAAAAGGAGGAAAGAAGACCTCAGCCAAGAAAAGAAAGGCAGAAGGGACAGCGTAGACTGAAATACCAGGTTTCACTTTGTATGGAAACGTGGATTTGGGAGAATTTTGGGTGTTTTCCAGGCTCTTGTTTTGGACTGTGTGCATTGACTGGCTGTAAGTGGGAGACATGACTCGGAATGCGTGCTGAATAAGGAAGACAAGGCATTCCTGTGCTACTGTCTCCAACCCTTTGGATGCTCTACAGTTGAGATCCATGTGTGCTATTCACACACTTCTTCGGTAACAAACCTCTTGCTATTTTTAAAGGTCTTTGCACATCAGCTCAACAGGTCTTTTTCAGATATGCCAGTAGTTTTATAAAGATAGTTTGGAAAATTGCAGATTTAATAAACATGGTGGTGGGATTTTTTTCAGAGTTTTGTTTCTCCAGTTCTCTGTATGTTTTCTAAATAAGCTATTTAAAACAAGCCAATTGTGTTGATTCTTCTGATTTCAGTCAAGTAAATCCTGCACACTTCCAGGGAGGATCATTTTTCAAAGGCATAGGAGTCTCGAGGTGAACACTTTGGGAGTTGAAGGCCCTCACAGCTTCAACAGCAGCTCCTGGGGGAAGCCAGAGGTAGATGGTCTCTCTGTTCCCTTTTACTTGTCTGTTCTCAAAAATAACCCTGATTCTGAGACAGTAGAGTATTTCATTGTGGTTTATAACACGAGGCTTGAAGATTACTTTTATTACACAAAATAAATAACAGTCCAGGAGTAGTCCCTGGTGTCTGCCATCTGTACAAAAAACAAAAATGGCCTTAGGAGGCAACTGCATTTTTTAAACCCACTGACTCCTCTAGGCTGTAAATCACTACATTATGTTAACAGAATCTATTCAAGTTTGTCTGCTTTTCTAACTCTTGTGCTACAGAAAACTCACTTGGTCCCTGAGGAATGGCGTGGATACAAATGGGATGCTTATCCGCACTTTGCCTGACATAACTGACACACTGCACAGGGTTCCAGAAGAGAAATTGTATTTTGAGATGGTTTAGTGAGTAGAGGTCTCTGATGAGCATCAGCTTCTCTCTCTGAAAACTTAAGAGGTATAGATTGATCTCAGAGGGTTTTGTTGTTGTTGGGGTTTTTTTGTTGGTTTTTTTGGTTTGGTTTGATTTGTTTTGTTTTTTTAACTTCTGGAAATGCAAAGGCAGGTTAACCCAGTTATATTTCCACAGTTCCCTGTTTTTGATTAAAGCATGCTTGGATCAACTGGACTTGTGAGCTTCAGTATTGATGAAAAATTATTAAAATTATTAGCTGGTCTGCAGCGGGGAAATAGGGGAGCCACTTCATAAAGAATACTAGCAAAGTTTTTTTCTATTGTGAACTATAATTTGAAGAATAATAAGAAAATATAGGAAAACAGTGCTCTTTAATTGGACTAGAAAGGAACTGCTGTTTTTGTGGAGTGTCCTAACTTTGTTTAAATACAGCAGTGGTTACTTCAGCTTGTTTTTATATCTCAGTCTGGCACTCACTGTTTGGGAGTAAGATCTTCAACTAATCTCTTATTTTGAGAAGCCTGTACTTGATAGTTTTGTGTTATCTGGAGCCACAAGGCCAACTCCAGCAAATGCCTCTGTTAGGTCTGTCACACAGGCAGACACAGCTCCTAAAAGCTCCACTGTATCAGTGGCTTCTGGAACTCTACCTTGGAGTGAAGAAATCTTGTGTAATTATAGGTATTTTTACAAAGGGACACTGAGCACTTCTGTGAAATTACCATGAAATGTCTCACCAGGAGGATTTTATTTTGAGTACTGTCTGCAACTACTTGTAGTAAGAAGTTTCTTTTTGCCTTTTCAACCTTCTTCAGTCACTAAGGAAGAGATAAAAGGTTTTATTATAACTCAAGAAGAGGCAGTGGTGTGCTGCCCTTGGGAGCTGCCAGGTCACCTGCTCTGCTGCCTTGGTTCTACACACCTGTGTTCATACCTGCTGCAGCTACCACAGCATTCATCACTTGCCTAATCTGAGTGCTTGTTATTGCCAGTACAATATTGCTTTAAACATATTTAAACATATAAATACACTTCTTTAAAAATGTAAATCACTATGGCTGTGCAAGGCCAGGTTAACCTTCCCAAGGGAAAAATCAGCAGGTCCTGCAGCACCTGCAGCCTGTAAGGACATGAACCTTTCACCAGCCTCATGGAAAACAGCACGGACGGAGAGTGTTTGCTGGGTTTCCTAGGAGTTGGGCTTCACTGGAATGTATTCACCCTTCCACTGGAGCATCACTTTCTCTACTGGCAGGAAATGGAATGTTTAAGTGCACCCCTTCTAATCTTTGGCAGCTGCTGCTTAGATTTATATAAAAATAACTATCTGTAAGGAAGGGTGTTTGAAAACTCCATGTAAACAACGTTGACCTTGCTGGGAAGGAGAGGTGGTTCATGACTCTCTGGAGGGGGATGGATGGATGGGTGGATGCTTCTCCATGGCATGTCAGTGCCTCTGTTTGCTTTTTGTGCCTGATCCACTTCGGCTGTGGGCTTTCACAGAGCCACGTAGTGGAAGACCTGACAAACGAGATCATGGACAGCCTCAAGACTTTGGGAAGGAATTACAGCTAAGTATCAAATACATCTCCTCCAGCCTAAAACTAAAATGTCTTTTTACTCTAACACATGGCTATCAACTGCATTATTCATTACTTCCAAAAAGGGCAAAGCTTATGCTTGCCAAGTTGCTGCATTGCAGGGAGCAACAGCATTCCTTGATGTTTCACTAAGTATTCGTGTCTACAAAGCTTCTCTGATATTTTAAATTGTTTTTGTCAATACAGCAGTCATAAAACTCATCTTGCATTTTTTTGGGGGGGATGGGGCAGATACTTACTTTAATTTCAGTAGGAACCACTCCTTGTTTGTTTAAAAACAAATTACTTCAGTTTTACTGCCTTTGTTAACCTCAAGTTACTATTTCTGCTTAACCTGACAACTCCTGCTTTGAAAACTTGGACACTGAGAGGCACTGGGGTTGATGACATTAAGCTTCTTTACTTGACTTAAATATTTGGTGGTAAAAAAAAAACAAACCAACAACAAAATGCACCCAACTATACTCTGGAGTAGAGTAGGACATAGCAAGGATAACATCTTTGTAAATGGCAAATTAAAGACATAGAGCTTTGAAAAACCTCCCCAGTGGAAATTACCTGTAGGAAATACATCTCTCACCCAAAAGACTCCTTTGATTGATCCTACTAAGCCCTGTGACTTATGAGCATACCTGAACTTGTGGATCCTCTCCTCGACCAGGACTGATTACTGTAATCAATAACAGTGCAAGAACGGCGGCGCTGGGAATGGGGCTGGAAAAACAGTTCAAGTTATTTCTGTTTGCATGAAAAAAAAAATCAGCAGCATTATAATACAACTACAAACTACTCAAACACAGGTATTTGGTAATGAGTTAGATGTTGTGAAGGTCTAAGGAAAGTTTTAAAGAAAGGTCAAATCAACTTTAGAAGTAGAAAATACACTTTCCTAACACTTATTTAGAGTGATCACTGGGCCAGTTCGATGCAGTCTTTCCATTTAAGCTGTGCTTTTCCAAAGCAGATTTTATAACTGCTGAGTCCAGGATGTTGAAATTATACCCAGAATATCAATCAAGCAGCTCTTTAAAAGCTGTGCTGAAGTTACAGCTTTCAAAGCTTACATAAAAATACATCGTTAGATACAAGAAGGTAGCAGTAGAGTTGGAGTTTCAATAAATTAAATTGAGAGTATTTGACACTGAAAACAGACTGGACATTGATTAATGTTAATTCACAAAGCACCCTTGTCAGTAATGAAGGATGAGATAGTCTAATTAGCTATGCTTTACCAAGGATGTGCTGGTTGTGTTAGGCCTGGAGAAGGGATCAGGTAAGAGCAGCTGCTCCTGGAGTTGCTGAGTGTCTTCTTGTGTCATGACACTGTAAGCACAGCTCGAGTTCCCTCGAGGTTTCTGCAAGGAGAAATAACAGTTTCAGTTTTTTTCTTAGTGCAGCAGTACATTGAAAATAATTAACCCTTATTAAATTAAAGCTAATTTTCCAAGTGAATCATTTTATACCTAGTTATGAGGAGAGAAACATTCAACTGGCATTAGTAACAACTAAGCATCCAAGTGTGGGTAATGCTGTTACTCAAAACTGATACAACATTTTTTCATGCATCTATTTGACCTTCCGTCACAAAACAACAAATAAATTTGAACTCTTGGGCTAGGTAATTTGACCAGCAGTGATAACTTTAGATTATTTAGTAATAAAATGAGATTCTTGTTACCGTTTGCCTGTGGGGTCCTGTGGTGCTCCCACGCTCTGCCACGGTATTGGTGGCAATGGGTGGCAGGGGTTGATTTCTGTTTAGCAGCAGTGGGGAGGGTGAGGTCAGCTGCTCCTGTGTAGTCAGGCTGGAATGCACCAGTAAGAACAGAAAAAACACACAGTTAATATGTGTGGCAGGTGGAAAGGTAAAATATTGTCTGTTTGGCCTTCTGGAGTTATTTTTCTGTAAGAATACCTTGGAAAAGCTTCAAACCATAATCTGCACGTGAAAAAAGACATTCCTAGTGCTCTTTACTTACATTTAAAAATAGATTCTAATAAAGCAGAGATGTCAGCATTTCTTAGATTGACTGGAGCCTGAGTAAAGGGAACAGAAATGTAAAATACTGGAAGGAGAAACACCAGTTATGAAGGGACAAGGAATAAGTTTCTCAGCAGTAACAGACTGGATGAGTTTATAGGTAAACTGCAAAATTAAAAGTAAACACCAGTTTAGAACACATGGAATAGACAGTTCTATCAAAGCCTGCATTGTTTTCTGATACCCTGTGATCCCTGTAAATGACTCAATTCAGTCAGGTCATTGTGCAAAATAAAAGTAAGATATTCTAGATGTGATTGAGGGCTCACTAAGAGCGCTTTGGTCAGTCAGATAACCTATTTGAACATCTTTATAGTCCAGCCTGGGCTACGATAGCAACGTGCAGTATGGCCTCCAAAAACTGCAGACTTTAAAATTTATCTTGAAAACAGGCTGCAGAAAAAGACAGTCGTGTCAAAGAAGAGGTGGTGGTGGTGGTCACTTTGCTTGCAGAGAACAGTCTGATGTCTGTTTCTCGTGTGCAAAACTACCCGGATATGGGAATGTATGTGACTGACTGCATCACAGCTGGCAGCACACTGAACATCAGCTTTAACAACTCAGCTTTCTCAGGGGAGTTGTGCTTTCCTCACTCCAATAATCCACGTCCTCCCTACCCAGGGATGCTTCCCGTGCTCTCTGGGCCTGGTACCCTGCCGGGAGAGGCTGTTTTGGGGACGTACAGGCGCCTGCAGACATCGTCCCCGGAGCGCGGGGTCCCGATGGGATGCAGAGTCCGTGGGGGAAGGTTCCTCCTCCTCGTGCAGCGGGACAGGGACGAGGTGCTGAGCTCCAGGGGACGATTTGGCCACGCCCGGGTAGAGAGGAGGGAACTCGAACCTGGCCGTGTGTCATCCAGGTCCCTAACAACAAAAAATTACCAAAAGACAGATGGTCAGCCTGACAACTGCTGTTACCAAAGTGCTCACCTACAGGTGCTTTCAGTCATAAAATACGTGGGCAGAAATTATGTGTGTTGATTTTTAACATAACAAAAACAATTTTCACAGAGGACAAACAAACAAAACAACCAAGCAGGAAAATAACTAAGAATTGCTTTCTCCCGAGGTTTTGGATTGAATCCCTCTCACTATGAGAGTGCTCTACTTTATTTACTACAGGTGATCTGTAGTTCTTACAGTGTTTTCTCCACTACAGGCAGGTTCCTTTGGTGTAACTGGATCCCATGGATCACCATCAAGCCATTCAGGTTACGCTGAGAACCACTACTTGATCCTTGAGAGAGAGTTACCTGAAATTTTTTAAAAAAAGTAAGTAAATTACTGTTTGGCAGAGACACACACACACATTTAAAGATACTGTAAATCACTTTGGAGAAAATTAATTCATTTCTTCCATGGCATCCAGATATATACTCAGTTATATTACTTCCCTAGCTAGGGGATCTTAACAACTAATTTTTTTTAACAATAGTGCTTAGAAAATGTCTTAATATTTCCCAATTGACCAGCTCATTTGCTGATCTTCCAACAATGACTATAATCAGAAGCTTTACAAAAATAATTTCAGCATATATTGACATTTTATGTCAAGAACAGATCTGCAAAGTCCTTTTCTGAGATACAGACTGATCTGGAAAAAACCATCATATTCCACCCACCATAACAAGATCAAGTAGAAAATAGCAGAGCTTTAATCCCATACATACTTGAGGTGTTTTTCTCCTCTTTTTGCTTTTGCGGCCACCTCTGGTTTTTGGGCACTACACACACAGTAAGGGGACACAAGGGACAGGCAAGGGGGAAGAAATAAAGGAGAAAGAAATGAAATAAGAAGGAAAAAGATGAATTAAAATGGAATAAACAGATAACACTTTGGGGCTCACCACTCTAGAAGCAGATAATCTAAAGCAGATCATACAGTTAAATTCAGTGTCTGAGAGAAAAAAAACCCCGTGGTTTAGAACTGCAGAGATTTCTCCCTTCTTGCTGGATGAATTAACTATTAATGTGAGAATGGGATCCTACAAACACACACACTCCTCAATCTCACTATTTAATTGAAACATTAAATTCTGGAAAGAACTACATCCTGAATCATGAGCCACCACATGGTTGTCACACACAGATATAAAATACTGTTTCAAGGAGAAAAGTGGGAATTAAAACTTCCAACTGAGTAAATAAAAAGTGAATAATAAAGTAAAAAAAAAAAAAAAGAAATAATAGATAAAGTGTCAGAAAGGACAGCCAGCATTAACACAAGGTCTGAACTAGTTATTTACCTAAACTCAACCACTGTGTTTGCTGCGGTAACACTGATTCATCCCCACACAAAACAAAAGCTGGCTAAAAATCCTTACCAGGTTTGATGTCACCGAGGGCATCTTCGTGTGTGGCACCCGAGGTAACAATGCTGGCAAAGGATCCAACTGCAAAGGGCTTCTGGCATCTGCTCGGAGTGTTTCTACTGTTATGATATTTTTCTCATCATCTGTGCAAAGCAACAGAGAATTCCTGTCAATATTGGCATTGCTAGTCATGGAGAGTGCTATGAATCGAATTTGTTTTAGAGAGAGTCCCCTTGGATGAGAAGCTCTGCTAAGTTTTTTTGAAGACATGTTTCACACTGTTAGCAAAATAACCTTTTTATTCCCACTGAAGTGATCATTCCCAAATACATCACTCTCCCATGGCATGTCTGCAAAATCAGCTGAAATCCCCTTTTGAGCCCTCATCTAAACTGTGATCCTTACCAGAGGCTGACCCTTCCCAGTGCCTGCAGATCAATTCTTCCATGCAGACCAGGACTTCACTCCACACATCATCAAACACAAACGTGAGCACAGAATCCTTCATGCAGGAGTAGGGAGAGACAGGAGGAAACCCCAGTTTCCGTCTGCCAGAGGACAATCCCACTTTTCTCACGTGCAACTCCTCCTCCCTGTAAAAATATAAGTATTACCTGCACCAGAAACACATCGTGTCCTATATTTACTTTTAGTTTTCCCACTGACCTCAGTGAGAAATGATTGACCCACCCTGGTCTCCCTATACAGAATGATAGTAAATCATACTCCATGAACAATAATTCACCCATGAGATCAAATTCAAGTCAAAAAAATCAGTATTCATCGTTACAGACAAGAGAGTGATATTATTTGCTGCAGCAATGTCTCTCTAGCCTGGTAAAACCGAGAAACATAACAATTTTAATTTAATGGTCCATGCAGATAAGTTGCTTTAATTATTAAAACCAGTTAAGTAGTCAGGAACTGACAGTACCCTCCAGAATCCTTACCCAGGTCACATGTTCATACTGTAGGGCTGAATAATGTAAAGGAGTAAAAAGATAAAAACAGTGGTAATTGTGTCTTGACAAGCATAAAGTCCACTCTAGTTCTTATAACTACCACTGAAAAGAATCCAGGAAGGTACAGTTCCAACCAAAATGCCAGTACAAAACAGGAGCAACACGCTGGTGTTGCATAACTAACAGCAGTGAATTTGACATAATATAAAAAATAAATGGTGTTTAAACATGTATTATTAAATACACAGGCTCTTAGTTATGATGGCATGAATTATTCAAACCAAGCACAAAAATGGAGAGCCTGAAAAGTAATCAAAAAATTCCAAAACATAATTTAGTGAAAGAAATTGTCCTAGGAAGTAGGTTGGGAAAATTCCCAGTGCCTGGGCAACCTCAAGCCTTTGAAAGCTCTCTAGAGAAAAGATAAATAAATTATCAATAACAAATCAAGTATGTGTATCTTAACTGCAGGAACCCCAGAACACTATTTTAATATTGAATACTTACACATCTCTGTGGTCAAATGCCAAGTATTCCTCCACTATGCCTTCGGAGAGAATGATTTCCTCCTCCCCTTCATCGCTCTCTGAGGAACACAAGGTCTGAGGCTTGGAAGGGTCGGCCTTTTTGTGAGCAGGAGCAACAAAAAGAGGCACCTTCTTGCCCAAAACCCTAAATCTGAACAGGTGACAGTTTTCAGAAAGCAGAAATAAAGATAAGTTGTTATTCCACCTCAAATAACTGAGACACAGCATGGTCATTAAGGGCAAGCAGTGGTGAGGCCAAAAAATTATTCATTACAGTAACAACTTTTGGTTTTGATACCTTTTAATTCTTGCTAAGGAACCTGAAACTTCCAGGAAAAAATATCCAAAGCTGATTAGAAAGCATTCTAAAACATTAAATAATAAAAGCAACACTAACATAGTGCTTTGTATTTTTTAAGGCCTAGGAAAATTTAAAAGATGATTGATAATAAAATGAGCTATAGTACACACATAAGAAAGCAGCAGCAGCAAAGATATTTCTATTTACTGGCCAGTTCACTGTAGTCAGCACAAGCACAGCTAGGTGTTCTTGCTATTCTACGTGTATTACATTCAGTTAAAAAGGAAGGGAAAGAGAGTGTGCTGTGTTCAAAACTCAGCCTAACAGGAAGGCTGCACACTCTAAGAAGCAGACAACAAACTTGCCTTCCTACCTGGGCATGATCCAGGCTTATTGCTGGTACTTACTCATCAGAATCCTTTTCCTGTGGTGAACTTACATCTGAGGGAGCCAAACTGCTCGAGGGGAAACTCGAGTACCATCCATACCCTTCATCTGTGGGGGTCACCACCTGCTTCCCCACCACCCTGCCACGGCAAAAGCAAAGGATAAATACAGCAGGAAACCCTGGCAGTACGATTATCCAAGGGTGTAAGAGCAGCAGCAAATCCTAAAAGTTCTCCTGGGAAGCTGTGCAGTTTTCCTGTTGACACTTTCAGTTTTCTAAGAGAATTCAGCTCTGTTAAGGCCAAGTCAGTTGCAGATAGCAACAAACCTCTGTCGAGGAACCACATGCGAGGTAAGAGAATGTTTATTAATGACAGGCAGGCACATTACCAGAGTGATCTTTTTACCTCTATCTACAGCATAATTGCATAAACCCACCCTGCCACCTGTTTTACAAGTAAACTGTGTGCATCCCTAGCCTTGTTGTGAAGGCACCAGCATCAGTCCATTAATAAAATACCTGAGATGAGGAAAGCTGGAGGACCACTGGTGGCATTCTTCCCGCAGTCCCTCAACATGAACGTTTTCTTTCTGCTCATACAGAAGCTCATCAATTTGTCTGAACATCTGCTGAACTTGTTGTGTGGCAGCTTTGTCAAATTCCTAGAGAGGAAAGAAAATACCTTGTGAATAGCATTTGCAGGGTTTTTTTAATTGATCTTCTTAAATATAATTGAAAAACACAACTATTTGTTTAAAGCTTAGCAAGATTGCGTAAAAATATTTTAACTTTAAATAATTTTCTCCAGGAGATGATTCAGCCTGCTCTTAAGACGGATGGCAGCCACATAAAAAGCTTACATTGACACAGCAGGAAAAATTATTAAGACATTTCGAAATATCTGTATTATCATATTAACCTACAAGACTTAAAGAAATCAGAACAGGAAGGATAAAATTCAGTGATATTTTAATGCAATGGAGGATTTGTTGCTTCCAGTGTCCAGAAACAACAGCAACACAAAAAGCAATGCAGAATAGTGGGAAACACTGAACCTGAAGAATGGTTAGGTCCTTTTTTATATGTAGATAGAAAATGGGGTCAGTTCTGGGATCATTTAAATCTAAACAGCTCCATCTTACCTCCCAGAAGGCAACAGCACACGTGACTTTGGTGGAAGGAGAATAAATCAAACATTTCTAAATGAAAATAATGTTTTAGGAGCTTAGTATATTTTGAGAAACATGCAAGGATGCAGAAGTTTGATAAACTCGGCCAAGTATCTGGAAGTCGTCCAGTCACAGCTGAGGTTCCACAATAACAGCATTTATAGAAACACTCATGCACTAAGTGATTTGCATTTCCAAAATTTTTAGTGGAAATGCAGAATATTAACAGAATAATATGAGCCTAATGTGTTTTGAACTGAAAGATGGAAAGCAGTAAAGAAGATATTTTTTCTATAATCACTATCATCATTTTTTGACAGATCCAATCATTTTTGTTCTGACATTTCTTTGCAGTGATATTTCAAGTGTCTTTCTGTGCTAGATTTGGCTTGGATGATTATATTCTACTCACGTCATAGCCCCAAGAGAAGACTGAGCTGTCTTCTGTGGAGGTGTCAGCACAACCCTGACTAGCAGTCCGTGGATCTCCATGATCATCCGATTCCTTATGGATTCTGGGCTCCCTGAAATGCATGCGTTGAGCCAAAAAAAAAAAAAAAAAAAAAAAAAAGAGCCCACAATAAACAACGACAAATCAATTCAAACAAACAAACAAAGCCTAGCTGGATCAGATATGTCGTGACAAGTACCTGGAGGTCTGGCCGAGGTTTTCAGCCGTGGGTGTGGCTGAGCACACCTGAACCCGTGGCTCTGGCAGTGGGTGATGCCTCAAGGCATGTTTTGGGAGTCCTTGTCTAAAACAAACAGAAGCGAAACACGGCATTACTTACAAAAATAAACATTTACGGAGTTCCCAGTAAATTTTATAGGTTTTTCTTTCCTGCTTCTCAAGGACTGTGCATACATTTATTACATTTATTACAAAGCTAATTCTTGTCGCCAAAGCTGTAGGTTTAAGGTGTCACAACTAACTCTAGGATAAATATGGAGTTAAAGGTTTTGGCTTCAAAATCAGTTAAACTTAAGATCTTGTGAATTGGGCTACAGCTCCCTAAAAGCAGAGACAATGCCATTATCACTGCAGTTAATTAAAATGAATTGAATCACACAGAACAAGAGTAAACGAGCCGAGTAAGTCAAAACTGACCCACCTCTTGGGTCAGGGGAAAAAAGCCAGTTACAGGGATTTAGTGGCGTTCTGTCACACCGGTGTGTGGCCGGGCCCGGTGCTCAGGAATCCCGGGAATCCCAGGAACCATCCCCCGTCGGGGGCAGGGGGTGACCGGGCCGTCACGGGGCCCTGTTCGGTGCTGGGAGGAGCGCGGGCGACAGGCCCGAGAGCGGGGCCGGGGTGGATCGCGACCGGGACCGGGACCGGGACCGCGACCGGGCTCGGGACCGTGACAGGGAACCGGGGTAGCGGCGGCCACTCACGCCTGCACCGGCTTCCGCGCGTATCGCGATATCATCCTCAGCGCCGCCGCCCCGCCGCCGCCATCGCGCCGCTCCTCCCGCGGGGGCGGAGCGCGGCCCCGGCGCGATGGAGGCGCTGCGGCGGCCGGCGCTGCCCGAGGACGCCGTGCGCTACCGCCTGTTCGCAGCGGCGGCGGCGGGCCCGGGCGGCGAGGCGCTGCTGCGGCGCTGCGCTGAGCTGGCCCTGGTGCGCTTCGCCCCGCTCCTGGCCTCCTACGTGTGGCAGCGGCAGCCGTTCCGCCTGCGCTACGTGCCGCGCCGCGGTGAGCCGGGAGAGGGCCGGGGAGCACGGCGGGAGGAGCGCCCGGAGGGGACGTGTGAGGGGGATCCGGCGGCCGGGAGTGGGGAGCGTGTGAGGGGAATCTGGAGGCCGGGAACCGGGAGCGTGTGAGGGGGCACCCGGCGGCTGCGAGCCGGGAGTTTGTGAGGGGGATCCGCCGGCCGGGAGCCGAGGGAATGTGAGGGGGATTCGGAGGCCGGGAAAGTGTGAGAGGCACTCAGCTGCCGGGAACCTGGAGTTTGTGAGGGGCACCCGGCGGCCGAGAGGTGAGGGCGTATGAGGGGGATCCGGCGGGACCGTGTGAGGGAGGCCGAGGGGGAACCTGGCGGCTTCACAGACTCACAGTGTCACAGCATGGGTCAGCTCAGAAGGGCCTCCAGTGAGGCATCTGGTGCCACGTCCCTGCTGCGGCAGGGTCATCACAGAGCACACGACACGAGATATTTTCAGCAGGGTCTGGAATATCCCCAGTGAGGGAGACTCCGCACCCTGTGGACGATCTGTTTCTGCGTATGGGGTTGCTGAGCCGCCTCTCTTCTCTGTGCCCCGTCCAGGCGAGACCCCGGCGCACATCGGCGGCACCACCTTGTTCGGGGATAACGTGGAGGATGAGTGGTTCATTGTGTACCTGGTCCGGGAGATCACCAGGGAGTTCCCGGGGCTGGCGGCCAGGTAAGGCGGGTCCTGCTGAGATGCTTTTTTGGGAGGGGTGCGAAGGGATAGTGCCTATGCTCTGAAGGTCCTGTCTTAATATCCTTGGAGGTGTTTTCCCATCCTGTACATGTTTGAAATGTCCGAGGCTGGGTAGGGTGGAGCTTGGAGCAGCCTGGGCCTGTGGAAGGTGTGCCTACCTATGGCAGAGGGGTTGGAACCAGATGATCTTTAAGGTCTCTTCTAACCTAAGCCCTTCTGTGGTTCTATGAACATTAAAAAAAAACCCAGCAGACATGGATTCAGAAGTGTGTTGTTGTGCTCTGCAAGGCTTTTCCTGCTAAGAAACCAATTTCTCCTTTGCCAGGATTGATGACAACGATGGAGAGTTTCTCTTGATAGAAGCAGCTGATTTTCTCCCAAAGTGGCTGAATCCTGAGAACAGTGAAAACAGGGTGAGTAACTCATCCTGAAAACAGTTTGCAAGGGGGCCACAGTGGCCTTTTATGTAGCAGCTGGAGTTTTCGCTTGTACCTCTACCCAAGTGGTCTGACTGCTTCTGAAAATCCAGAATGCTGTCTGTCCCTTACTGTTGCTCCCTTCAGGAGCATTCCTGTATCTGCCTGAACTTTCTAGTTCTGCTAGAACCACTTGGATTCTTTTTTTTAAGCCTTATTCAGGAGTGTTTAGGCAAGAGGATTTGCTGCCCTCTGAGTAGGGAATGCTCAGGGCTAGAGTGTTGCTGTCTCTGTAAGGACACAGACTTTGTCTGGTATTGGTGAAATGATGAACAGACACCTTCACCTGGATATGGATGGTTGCTAGTGGTCATGTCACTGCCAAAGGATTAAAATGGAAATAATTAACTTGGTCATTAACAAAAAAATAATTAATTTTTCCTTCACTCCAAGATTCTTAAAAGGAATGGAACACAACACAAAAATCGATTGCAAGTGTGCATACCTGGACTATCAGGCTCGTATTTTCCTTTTGTGTGAGGGAGTTGAGAACATTGCATTCAGGGCTTTTCTTGATCAGGAGCCAGCAGAGGTCACATGTAGCACCTGAAATAATGCTTTTTAATCCTTGTGATGTTCTGAAGCAGTTAGGTTATGCTGATTCTCCTGAAGCAGTTCTCTAGTTGAAGAGAAACTTGGTATTATTGTTATTAAGGAAATAAGATACATTTGATGAAACTTAATACATTTAAAATAGGGATTTTACTGGCTGGATCGTGGTCTCTGGCATCTCAATAACTTTTTAAAATAAAAAACCTGTGCTGCTTCCTGTATTGGTTCTCTGTTTGTGCTTTATATTCTCTGTATTTAAACAAATGCATTTGTATATGAAATGAAATTTTCTATCACTCTGTGTGTGCCTGTTCTTACCCTGTGTGATGCGAGCATTCCTGTCTGCCAGGTGTTCTTCTACAAAGGAGAGCTGCACATCATTCCACTGTCAGAGACTTCGGAGCAGGACTGGGACCTCTCTGCTCCCTGTCCCACGATCCCAGAGGCATTGGCACTGTTATCCACCCACTCCGAGGAGTTCCTGGCTGCAGAGCCCATCAGAGCTGCAGTGTACAAACGCATCGATGGGTATGTGGGGACTTTATTTGGGTCCTCTACAATGGTGAGGTTTGGTTCTGTGCTCTCTGGGGTTTAAACATTTCCCCAATAGATGTGATAAAGTTGGTTCCTTTTCAGAAACCTGCAGCTAGAGGTTTTTCTCTGGCACTCTTGGGATGAGGAGGATCAGTGTCCTGTGATCTGGGGGCTGTGAAACTGCTTCACTGCTGTAATTCCACACCTGACAATGACAAGAGTTACTCTTCTTTCACATCCTTCTTATACTGAAAAATTTGAAAGTTCCGTGATCTTTTAGGGAGCCCTGTGCAGGGCTACCCAAACTGTAGAATTAGCAGAATTGTCAGAGCTTCAGCTTGTCACAACTGTGTTCAGCCCTCTACTTTATTTTTTGCAAGGATTTGACAGCATAACTTTTACAGAGCATGGTGAAGAATATTGCATAGCTGGATATGTTGGTTAAGTTCACAGGGGCTCATCTTACCCGTGTAGGGGATTCAATTTTATTAGCCATGTACATTTCTATAAATGTATTATCGAAACAGACTTTCTAAACATTAGATTGGCCAAGTTTTAACTCCAGAATAATCTTCTGACCCATGATACAGGTAAATATTAAAGTGAAAATGGGCCTCATGATAAAAAAGGCGTGGTTTAACTTGCACTACACTTCCTACATTCTGTTGCTGTTCAGGTATCCCGAAAAGATCCAGGCGTCGCTGCACCGAGCCCACTGCTACCTCCCGACTGGAATCGTGGCCGTGCTGAGGCAGCGCCCGTCCCTGGTGGCTGCGGCAGTCCAGGCCTTCTACCTGCGGGATCCGGGTGATCTACGGGCCTGTCGGCGCCCTTTCAGAACCTTCCCTGCCGACCAGCGTGTGATGACCCTGGTAAGTGCTCTCTAAAGCCTCTGATGATCCTGGTAAGTGCTCTTCTAAAGCTTTGTCACTTAATTCCCTTCTGTAACTGACAAGGGTTCTGTGGCATAAATACATAGATTTAACTTAAAACTGCGAGTTTTCTGTTGTTTTTTTTTTTCCCCTCTGGCTCTAGGGATGAATTTCCATGTCATGACATTAATAGCTTCTCTGGATCGATGTGGCTGGGGCTGATCACGAGTGAATTGTTTCTGAAAGGGAAGGTTGTGATAGTAGTTTCTCTGCTGAATGCCTGCTGAGTAAATTGATCTCCTTGTGTGATCAGAGGAGTTCGACAGCACTGCCAGCCAATGTGAGGAATTGCTCCTAACCAGTGGTTTACTCCAAGGCTTTTCACGTCCTCAGCTGTACTCACACAGCTCTGTGAAAGCTTTTATGAAGTATTTTATGAGAACTGTCCAAGCACTATGGTATCAAATGCAATTTGTTACAGAGTTGCATTACTAGACTCCTGAAGAGAAGCTTTAGAGTCAATTTTTGGACTTCTAAACTGTTTCTGATATCTCAGCTTTTAATCAAATTTAATTTCACTTGAAAATACACCTTCTTGATGCAAATACAGAATATCGAGGACTTTTCCTAATATATTAAGACTGACGAAAATTTATATTTGCCTGGGGATTTCGATTTGGAACACACTTTGTAAGGCCTTAAAAGCAATTAATCAGGATATATTTTGAATGCAGTCTCAGGTATTGCCTGTAATATGTGTGCATTCAAACACACTTTAGTGAGCCTGGTGGGAGCTGAATGCCTGTCCACAGCACAGTCACGCTGCAGGGAGTGGGTTTTTTTCTGCTCTGGCCGTTTCAGGTGACTTTCACTCGGTGTTTATATGCACAGCTGGTGCAGCAGAAGTTTGTTCCAGACAGACGCAGTGGGTACACCCTGCCTGCCCCATCTCATCCTCAGTACAGAGCCTACGAACTGGGCATGAAATTGGTAATAATTTTTTGATGCATTTTGTACTTTATGTACATTACGTATGTCCAGGAAATGAGTCTTTGTCTGGAAGTTGTCTTCTTGTCCAGAAAAATGTGGGCAAAGGTCATCACACCTTGAGAACCTCATCTTGTTGCGTCTTTTGTATACAGGCTCATGGCTTTGAAATTCTGTGCTCCAAGAGCAGTAAAGTAGCTCCTGATGCCAAGAGAAATGTGTTAAGCAGTCCTCTGTGGGAGAGATTCCTCAGGAGCTTGAAGGAAAAAGATTATTTCAAGGTGAAGCAGTGTGTCTGTGCCTTTAAACAGTCCAGGGAAAATAGATTTTGACTCTTGAACATGTGTAAGGAGCTGCATCGGGGCAAGAACCTGAATCCTTATCTCTGTGTAAAATGAATTAATGTCTTTAAAAGGGACATGTGCAGTTTGTTCCCCTTTGAAAGTAATTTATTTTGGAAATTAAAAAGGAAAAAGCAAGATTTGGGGATTGATTCATTCATCTAAAGAAAGAGGAGAAATGCACTTGAATGGAGAAAAACGCCATATGATTGTGTTAGGTGTACCTGATTTCACTGGTTTCCATTTCATTTCCACACCTCTAAAATTAAATATTCT